GAAGTTGTTGAAGGAGCGAAGCAAACGAAGTAAACGTGTAGTATCTAGAAATGCACTACATGAGCTCACGCCAGAGGTCTGTTACCAAGCTTGCGTCCAAAATCCACATTCTCGGAATCTTGCGTCCCAGGCTTACAGATGCACATTTGCTTCCCTGTACCTATTGCTTGCTTCTGTAGTTCTGCTCACTCATATCCACCCCGCACACGCCGCCGAAAGAACCTGATGCTCTGACCCCCGGATTTTGAACAAAACAATGCATCATGCTTATGTAGTTCCTACGTTGCGCAATGTAACTTCACCTTTACATAATACCAATAGCCCCACTAAGAAGCCCCAAGTTTTCGTCAATGCGAGAGGCATGGTCTGCATCGCTGCAAGACGCACCTCTGCACTGCTGTCCTGGCCACAGGAGAGGCCTGGACCTACATCACGACGAGTGCCATACTACACTCATCTATGACCATAATCGTTCTCATCGTTAGGAAAGAATATCGAAAGAAAGGTCAACATCCAAAGAGCAATTGAACACACGAAAACTATGAGGGTGCTAGTGTCAGCAGGACTGGTGCTGATCTGTTAAGCAACCTGCACATGCGCACATCTCTGGTGTGCAGGATGCAAGTCGCGCCCGCGCTCTGTGTGACGCAGCCGCAACATGCCTAATGGACAACATAAACCCAATCCTACCTGCCCAGAGCCTGCACCATGCCCAGCACAAGATCGCACACGTGCTGTGGGGAGACGGCATCCAGTGACAGCCGCCTCATAAGCAATGCGGGCAAGAAGAGACGCAGCACACCAGCGAACACCCCAAACCGTAACAGGTGGAATTCCATGAAGCGACACAAAGGGTGAACAAAGGGAGACGGGGTCCGCTTAAACCCTGATGAGCTCATGGCCAATAACAAGTCCTCAAAGTAATCAGGAACTCCTACAGTCAAGCTGTGGGGAACTGGCTGTAAATCCCATCAATGCGCTTGAAAACGTCCAGCTCACAGGGGATCTTGAAAAGGCCCTTTCTCTCTCTTTTTTTTGAAGCCGCGTCCGGGCTGCGGAGAGGGCCGTCTAGGTCACTCTAGGTAATGCCTTTCGACGTTGGGGTTGCATAGACTGCCTGACTTCGAGAATCGCCCACATGAGGTCTGAACAAACCCGCTTGTATGCCAAACCATCAAAGGAGCTGCAAGAAGTCCACCCATCCTTCATTGCGGTTCAGGAGCCGCAGCGCGGCTACCGCATCGCGACGCACACCTGGTACCTACGACCGGACATGAAATTGGCAAGGTAGACTTACAACACAAAGGGGTTAGGCTCAGGCTGCTTCTGGTGATTCATAGCCCTCCTGTACTCTGAGAGTCAAGCGCGTCCAGGTCATAGAGTCATAGAGTTAGCTACGCTGGCGACTGGCATAAGCCCCAAAACCCAAAGCCGTAGATCTCACAAACGCGCAACCCACAACCTCCCTTTTCAACAACCAAGATCCCACGTGGCCCAAGCCTGAAATCTTGAAGCCCTTCCGTTGGAAACAATTTCCGCCTCGTGAGATGCGCAGCTGGTCACCAACTTAAAGGCGCCTTTCGGCCAGGTATTGGTTGGAACTGACTTGCTTTCTCTCTCCATAGTAATATAGGTAACAATCTGTGGCCTTCAACAGTTCAACCTCAACTCAAAGTGGGAGCTGGATGCTCAACGCAACACTCCAAAGCACTAGCTATCAATTGCTGCAGCTCAGGGATGGATGGCTGTCACGCCGTCTGGTCGAAGCATGAGAAATTCCATGCCACAGGGGCAAGATGAGGCATACTCAGGTTTATGATTTGCAGTTTACAACCAACTACATACATCACAAAAGATGGGGCCACACTTTTGAAAAGGGCAAGGCGCCTGTTGCTGGAAGCACGGCTGACCAGCCTCTCAGAAGGGCTGTTTTGGCATTTTGCGGGTCTACGGTTTGTATTACAAACGGCTGAATACTCAGGATATTTGCAGTTCTGCAGTGAAGGAATAGGCCGCGCGATGCTTGACAGCTCAGGGCTGGGGGGAGCTCTGCTTTCCTTTGCAAAGTGCTACTGGAGGGTTCGAACAACGGCTTTGGCGATGCAAGCACAGCAATGATGTCACCTGACATGGTAAGACCATGACATGAACATATAAGCACGACAGCAGTCACGGCAGCACAATTAATACCGTGACACGAAATTGCATGATCAAAAACACCACTGCAGCTTGGCGCAACCTGCAAGTCGTTTTCGCCAGTCTGTTGACTCCACGGTGTGCTTTACCTTAGCTTAGATCATGTTACATCAAAGCTTAGAGTCTGAGTCCCAGAGCTTGGGAATGTGTAGAGCCGAAATGTCCATGATGAACTAGAGCCTCCAGCAAGGCAAGCGGCTTTGAACAAAAAATGCTGAAGGCTCCTACATCATCCTACATCACAGGGGATACGTAAGAAAGCGTAGTTGGCATTCAAGCTTGGTTGTACTATGCCTGGATTTTCTGAGTAAAAGAGCAACCATGCGCGGCCCCTCAGGCTTGATGGACAATTTTGCTTCTGGCTGCAGCTGTTTTTAAGTTTCAGGAACCTGCCTTCAAAGAAAAGGTTGGCCCTTCAGGGCGTAGGCTTCCATAATACCTCAATGCCTAGAGTCCTCCCTGAATCAATGCCTAGAGTCCCCCTTAAGTAGATAGACTATGGCGTTGGGCATATATACTACAATTCCCATATACCGCCATATTCTATCTACTTAAGTGCCCTAAAACCCTAAGCCCTAAATAGTAGTTTCCATTTTCTTTTCCATTCTCCCCATATAACCCCAATAATATGGCCGCTGTATTCTATCTACTTAAAGGGAGACTATAGGTGCTAACTGTCAGCCCCTTGGTTCTACGGACCTAGTCCACTAATTTCCTTCACCTGTCCGTAGGCCTCACGTCTTACGTCTGTTCGGCAAGAAGTATCTACTACTATAATATGCGACTATGTATTTCAATATACTACTACTACTACTACTACCACTACTACTACTACTACTACTACAGCAATATACCATAAGATACCAGAATATACTATAATCTACTTTATTATGCTATTCGCAGCTCGTATTCGCGGAGGGACGGCGGCAATCACGGCCTCAGGCTCGGTACGGGCCAGCTGCTGCCTCAGAATCAGATCACTGGGCCCTTTATCATATATATATATATAATACATACATACATATATATATATATGTATATACATGAACTATAGTCTAAACTCCTAGTATCCCCCTTGATAATCCCTATAAATAACCCCCTATGTAACTCTCTTAAGGAGTTTAGATTATGGCTCATATGGTTAGAGTGTCATGTTACTGCGGAGCTTGTCGGTAGACAATTTCTCCAATGTCCTGCTTTTGTCAGCGTTCTGAGGTTCTGGGATCTTAGGCTTCTCTGCTAGAAGTTAGGAGATGGGGTTTTAGTGTTCGGGGCAGTGTGGAAATTTCACAGGGACCCTGAACAAGCAAACTTCTCAGACTCACGGGTCTTTGGTATTATGCCACAGTGGCCTAGTGTACAAATTTACAGGCAAAGATGATCTTCCGCAGCGGCCTCCCGTAATTCTTCTCAGATAGCGTTTCCTCATGACCCTTTTTTAAAACCCAACCCCTACATGATGCCACCAAGAAACAATAGACCTGCCTGGAAACCCACGACCCGGAATCCTAAACTCCATTTACTCTATTTGATGATGTGCTTGTCTAATCGGGTCTTCCAGATCCAAATGTGGCTACGCTCTACACCCCAGAAACTTGAAAGTAGGACATCCAGGCTACAGGAAAAACCCACCGAACCCCAGCCTCAAACTTCAAAACTCTGAGCAGCCCGAGGTGCAGCCCCCGCAGCGCCGCCTCTTCGCGCCGTGCCTTCTCCGAGCCCCGGGCTTTGGAGACCAAGACCTGGGCTATGAGTACCCTGGGGGCCAAACAAGCTTGCCTTAGATCCCACCGCAGCGCTTGCCCAGGATGATTCCTGAGAGACTTCTTCCGCCGTAACATAACTCCAGCGGTGCCCCACCGCGAAGACTGAGTAGAGGCGGAAGTGCTCAAGCAACACACCGCAGGGGTTATGTTAAGATCTACATCTGGGCTAGTTTCGACATGTCTTGCCTTGCTGGAGGTGCTCTGATCATGCCGAGCGTCACTTGCTAGAATCAGGGCATCTGCCGCACTGATGGCTGCAGGTTCCGCTTGTGTCTTGCCCGCCTCTGTTGCTTCGCGCTGGGTGGCAAAGCAGCCCAACATGCTCGGCATCTTGCCTTTTGCTGGGGTGGCTGGGTTTGCTGTGATGTGTTGCTCACAATGGAGGAACCGCATCGATCTTAGTGTGTGGCGTATTGCTCTCACAGTGAGGTGCGAGAGCAGTTTCTGCCATGTCTGCACAAGCACAAACGCACTCGCTTGCATAGCATCTGCTCATCTGCTCCTTTCGTGAAAAGCACCTTGCGAATGTACTGGCTAGTGACTGCGTCATGTCATGCCTCGAGTTCCATGATGGGAAATGGCTACTTTGCTGCCGCGGTTGGAGCCCAAAGCATCAGATGCTGAAGCTTGTCACGGTACGCAATTGTTAACAAAAACCAGTGACACTGTGTGTATGGAGTTCCCAACAACAAAGCGTGTGCTCATACGTGTCAGCATGAAGATCTTCGTTTTTCCTCAGTAACAACCTAAGCTGTCGATTCCACGTTCTATGCCTATGCAGATTTGGGAATGGAAGTGCCCAATTTTGCAAACATCAAGCCTTGCAAGGGGTTCGCTGTGCTGGGACACCCAGGACAAACACCAACCAATCGGCAACCCATCCGCAGGAGCCTGAAGAAATATCAAGACCTCTGCACAAGATCCCTGCAACAGTTGACTGTTGTAGCTTATAATTATGGAGCACAGGCGCATCATAGCTAGTATGCAAAACCCTGAATCCTCAACAGCACAACCCCAAAAAACTGGTTAGTCACTGGCTTGAACATGTCCAGCACCAATCTGCCCGGAGTTGGCATCTCAGTGACAGATGTTTCGAGGCGGACTTCTATGAGGCTTCTTAGATCTTCCTGGGGTTAATGTCAGGGACGTGTGCTGGAACAAAGGTGTGCAGAAAGTCAGTTGAAGTGGTTCCTTGACGTATCCCCAAGATTTTGACTCACTCCATATGAGGGATTGCATCATGAGCGAAGAGCAAATTGCAATGCTCCCCAGAATAAAACGGTTTTCACCATCCTCTTGCTCTTGTGCAGAGGGCAACATCTTCCCACTAATCCCTCCTAAAAACCAGGATCCTAATGGCGACGTGCAGGAACTTCCATCTCGAATCTTGGACACATGATGGTCGCAAGCAGTGATTTAAGATGATCTAAGCACCGCGCTGGGCCCTGATGCACAAACCAGCATGGCACCCGAGGACCTCAGTTGGCGTTTCCATGCGGGGGACGTCACTAGAAAACGGACTTTCGAGTATACCTCTTCTGCTCCCGATTCCTGGAAACTATCACGTGGTCTGGGCAAAGACGTGGCCAAAAATGTGCAAAAGCGTGGTGATGGTGGTGGGCGGTAACGGTGGCAGGGGTGGCGGTGGGGCGTTTGGCGGGTTTAGCGGCAAAAGCCGTAGAAACTGCGCATTTGGGTCACCATGTGGTTTCTGATCAAAATGCCTTTTCCTCAGCCAGCCAGGATTGAATGCAAACGTGCCCTCTCAGGATAGCGGCCCCATGCTTATCAAGCCCAATGCGAAAGTGAAGGAGCAGCACCGCCAAGTTCCCGACTGGCCAGATTCTTCCGCCGGGTAAGCAAGAAGACCTTCAGACTCCACTGGCAGCTTGTTGGAATGATTCACCCCCCCATACAACCTCTTTTAAGCAAGGGTCCCTTCTAAGCGGTTGAATCCCGAAAAGAACTGCAAGTTCGAGACACGTTCACAAAGCAGTGAGGAACTTTGCAGAAATTTGCGAAGATGCCATGACGCTAAAACATGGTGGCACGTCTACTCGTGACCCCTGCAAATTTTCACTAGGCAAAGTGGTTCGGGGATTTGAAAAGTGCAAAAACACTGGGCTTTTGATTTTAGAGGCCTATTTTGGAGAGGGGCTAAAACACTGAGACGAGTCAACTTTTTCAGCGACTTTCAGGGTTTCGCTACAGCGGCGAGAAGCACATTCTGGAAGTTGAAAAAACGAAACTTTCGGAAGGAGTAAAAGAGGTAGAAATACCACTTGCCAAGGATTGCTTGGGGTTTGAAGCATAAAGAGAGGGCATGGATGCTCTGGTGAGCGTATGCTCTTGGAACACGTACGTTATTATGGTTTGGGCATGGATGCTCTGGTGATCGTATGCTTTCGGAACACGAACGTTATTATGGTTTGGGCATGGATGCTCTGGTGAGCGTATGCCCTTGGAACACGAACGTTATTGTGGTTTGGGCACGGATGCTTTGAAATGTGCAAAAACCCTGGTGTTTTGCAGATTTCCATGTTCCAGGCCCATTGGCATGGATGCTCTGGTGAGCGTATGCGCCTGGAACACGAACGTTATTATGGTTTGGGCATGGATGCTCTGGTGATCGTATGCTCTTGGAACACGAACGTTATGATGGTTTGGGCATGGATGCTCTGGTGATCGTATGCTCTTGGAACACAAACGTTATTATGGTTTGGGCATGGATGCTCTGGTGAGCGTATGCTGTTGGAACACGGTGGCAGCTGCACATGCTCAAAAACCCCACGAACGCAGGGTCCTCGAGTAGACGTGCCACCTAAAACATGCAAACACTGCCACTCGCTAGACCAAGCGAACTAGCAACAAGCATCCATTTAGATTCGCGAGGCATCACAGGATGCCTCGCCATCATCTTTGTCACATGTTATCACCACACGGCGGAAGAAGATGGTACGGGTAGAATGAGTGCAACGCTTGCAGGACCGCGGAGAAGACTTCAAAACGCTCATGTCAAGCACAGCACGTCTGAAACATTTTTCTGCCCTCCCACACTTCGCAGCCAGTCAAGCTTCCTAACCTCCGAGGGCCCACTTGCAGGGCCCTGGAGCCAACGCAACGGCGTTTGATCAAAGCAATAATCCCAGAACTTCAGCTGGGCAGCAACAGTTTAAAAGAATAAGCTAATACTGCATACGACACTTTCTCTGCCGAACCAGACTAAACTGGTGCGCGCAATACCGTGCAGCCCGTTGCAGCAGAGCTGCAGGCACAGGTACAACTATGGTGCATCCAATGTGGTTCGCAAATGCGGTTGCGAAGCCTGGACCCAGTCTTATATCTGACTAAGTGTAACCGAAACGAACGAACCGCATCATCCGCAAGGGCAGTGTCTATGGGAGGCACCTGCTTCTCGCAGCAGCACCTGGACCTTCTGGGGATGTCTCGCTTCAGCTTGTTGTCCCCTCGAACCCTTGTTCCCGAAATTCCCCACCAAAAAAGAAACACTGATTCCAAGAGAGTGGTATCGAGTATAACGAGCATGCATGCGGTCTTTCTTGTCGCGGGTCCACTACTTTGGCACACCCATGAAGTGGCTTGAGCTTGATAGAACTTAGCATGCCATCCGTGCGGTACATGAGGTGAAAGAGGAAACGCTACACCATAAAACACGACAGAACTCTTCACCGTCCCCGAGTTTAGATCCTATATGTGAATCCAATACCCTCCGACCTATCTATGTGCTCAACATCCCCCCGAACCACCTCTCACAACCCAAACCTGAAGCTCGGCGTACTACACCCCAAGCTCTTAACCCTCTGTCCTACAGCCCTTTAACTCACCCAGCCCCGAACCAGTACGATCTCTTCTCTACTGCACCATCAACCTCAACCATGTCCAAGATCTCTAAACCCTACAACCTAAACAGCCTAAAGTGCAGCACTGACTCTAGTCGACCCTCAAACACCCCCAAGATCTCGCATACTTGTGAGGCAGAGCCTGGCAGGGCTTCTAAATCTCGTGCCTTGGGCTGACCAGGCCATGCCAGGTGGAGGCTTCTCAAAGGAATACGACAGGAGCTCTCCGTAGAACAACTACGCTTGGTGATGATCATGCATTCGTCATGAAACCCTCCATCATCCGCCAGTAATCAATTAAATGCAAGCCCGGATTAGGTGCCAAGGTCAGCCCGTGTGATCTCTTCCTGGCTTAGCCAGTGGTAACGGGAGAAACACTTTCATGCATCTAACATGTCTGAGGATCCAGCATGCTCGCTAGTTATCGCTAGTTCAACAGTGTTCGAAATTATCGATTCCACTCACTGACCTCAAAAAGAAAGTGAAGCCCTCACCTTCTACTGTGATCAAATTGTCGCAAAAAGCTCACTCATGCCTGGATCCACAGGGATTCTTTTTTCAGTCTTGGAGAGCAGATTTCCGCTCCACGTAGCCGATCTGGAATCAGATGAATAAGAACCTGCACCAGGCGCACTGTGTGAAGAGCAGGGGTCCTTCCAGTAGCAAGTAATAACCAAACAGGTACCTGGATCGATGGTGGCGGCCCAAATGTTCTTTGCATACACAGTGGGCCACATGGGTCTCCCAAAGAGGCTGTTGTTATGTGTGCCTGTCTGTATGCATGTATGTATGATGCAAATGTAATGTAAGTATAAATGTACGCGTACCTTTCGGATGTGCCCAACCCTACAAAATGCGGGCTATACTGAAGGTCCTGAGCATCAGGGAATCGACAGAGGGCTTCTGTAGTGATCCTTGAGGAAGATGTGGCGCAAACTCCGATGAAGACTGAGACCACGTTAGTGGGCTAAAGCAGACTGTCTTGGCCAAGCAGCCCGGGTTGCATGCCGAAGGACACAAAGGTGGGGGCTGTCACCTCACGCGTTCATACGCAAGTAGCTGGAAGCTTTTGTTTGGCGATGTGATCCGGCAGCACTAGTGTTACGCGTCAGCGCTACATCTGTCGTGCTCTTTGCTCTTTTTTTGCATCAGGGCCTCATTACTGCCTGGATCCGCACTCACCAACATGCTTGACATGAGCTGTAAGGACTACTACTAGGCCTCCGCTCATCTGAGCTTTGCTTTCCACCCAGTGAATCGCTCCATCTACCCAGCTGCTACTCCCGAGCACCATTCAGAACACACGCTCAGCACGGTGGTTCACAATGGTGTGTGGCACACCGCGCAGTACAAAACCTGCTCCGAAATTTGTGGTTTTCATTTAGGCAACAAGTCAGCACTCACGGGCATCCTTGATCCTATGTGGGGAAGGGGAAATGTCGGCCCGAGGTGCTGCAAGGTCCCTGACCATCAGCGGCGGTAGCTCTTCTTGGCTGGCTGCTGTCGTCGCTGCACTCTCGGGCTTTGGTTTCAGCTCCTGGCTTGAACTTTATTGGAAGGGCATTGAGCCACAGAAATCCAACTCCTTGCAAGAGCCTGCTGCTTTCATGAAACCAGCAGCAACGATGACAAAAGCGGGGGATCCACACGACTAGTAGGAACGAAAGCGCCATACGCTTGCTCAGCACGCCAAAACCAATAAGACAACAGCAAACACCCAATATGCACAACAGATTGCTGTAGCCACTGGAACGGGTAGAAGTTACTCACAAGATCCTCCACAACATGCAGCAATGGCAACGTGGAGTTGTCCTCGAGAGCTTCTTCCAGCTTGCCATTCTCAACTCCCTTGGAGCCAGGCGATGCCAAACAAGCTTTTGTTGTTCAGCGCTTTAGTACGGTCTGAGCAGAAAGATGCTATCAGATACGGCCTACTTCAACAGATCTCTCTGGAGCCAGTGCAGTAGATGCGGTCGGGCAAGCCCCGCCGCCAGGTGACATTTTTCATGAACATGAGTTTCCCGTTTGCGGTACTCTTCATTGGACAGTTTCTGGTAAAAACAAACTCACGGTACCCAACTTTTGGGAAGTATGATCCTTACATAGTAAACAGTCCCTTCTGATTGTCTTCTACCCTGGATGCTAGCTAAGTTGCGTGTGAGAGAAAGTCAGCCGCTTCCTGCCGCAGCTCCTGTCATGTGGGGCAAGACGGGGAACGCATTAATGAAGAAGTTTGAGAGGGTTTGGGCGGGGATTTCTGGTTAATCATGTGGAGAACCTCTCAGCTTGAAATTTGAAGGAAATACAAAAGCATGGGGATTGCACGTCGATCATCCAGGAATTCACCAGATTGTTGGCGTTCGGCGAGGAATAAGTAATGGCACCTGCAGCAAAGGACATGTTCCTCATCTATAGGAAACGACCTGAGAGTTCATCACGTGAGCTATAGTCTAACTCCGAGTATCCCAATAAGTCCGAAGGAATCTCCTAGAAAATACCTTACATCACCCCCTTTGAGGAGTTTACATTATGGCTCACAGCAGGACCTTCTGGAGTGATGCAGAAGTGTTCAAGGATTGACATGCATGCCAATGGTCTGCTTTGCTCGTGAAGGTCTGGAACATACGCATTAGGCTAAATGTGAGCGCTGCTTGTGAATCCCTCAGACAGGACCACCGCAAAGGGGGCTGCCTACATTAAGTACTAATATATTACTTTGATTATAATATTCATTTCCTTGCTATTGCTATTACTATTCCACTCTCTACAGATTACCATTATTGGTATTACTCTTGGTGCTAATTATGGGCCTACATCGCAAAAAAGCTGTACCATGGAAAATGTAGCGCTTGGCTTTGCTGCATCTGGGCTTGCCATGAGCCTGCTATACGTGTACAAGTGCCTTAAGGCCCGAAGCCCTGAACTGTAATTAGTAGGGTTTGGGGGGGCTTTAGGGCTTTGGGTTGAATCTTGGAAAAGTCAACGACTCACAGGAACTACGAAGGGTAC